GCCCCTCCCCCTCCCCCAACCAAACCTCACAGCCCCTCACCAGGACGCGGCCATCGGGGTGACCCGTGGCGACCAGCCCACCACCACACGCCGCCACCACCTGCAAGCAGCAGAACACGTCACCAAATAGCTCTTCCTTTCTCCTTCCATTCTACCCCTTCCCTCCTTCCTTTCTCCTTCCTGGCTTTTTGTCGTGTGAGGGGGTTGAGGCTCTACCGCCCGCCGGTATCTGCTTTACCAGTGTTCTTCGGATCCAGAGAAATCCATTCCTAAATCCAGTTGTCATATCAAATGGTACGTATACAGATACGCATGCAGAGATACGCACATAAGAGATACACAAATTGAGGTGCACAAGCGCACATGCAGACATACGTACATACCGACACACAGTCACCTGCAGCTTGAACCGCTCCTCGGGAAGCAGATCTCCAGCCTCAGGAGCATCAGGGTGCTGCTCCTGCTGCTGATGTTGAACCCCTAGCGGCAGCGGGTCGGCAGCGCCGGGAGGCGGCGGCGGCGGCGGCGGCAGCGGCGGCGGCGCCACCGCCCCTCCTCCCTGCCCAATTCCTGCTGCCCCCGAGCCCGCCGCGGCGTTGGATCCACCTGGCGGGGTCCCCATGGAAGCTGGTCGTGGCGAAGGTACGGAAACATGTACGGCAGCCTGGCACGCACACGCGAGACGTGACTGCATCGGAGGCGGAGGCTGCTCCAGATGCAGCTGGCGTGGCTGCCGTGAGGTGTGTCGTACGGCTGCCTCATGTACGTCACCACCACTTTCGCCGCGTCCGCCTCCGCCGCAGGTGGCCCCAGAGCTTTTTCTCCGTACAACGCCGGCCTTAACAGCATCGTCGCCGCCGCCGCCGCCGCGGAGGCTGGTGTCCAGAACAGGTTCTGCCGATGCGCTGCCGCCGTCGCAGCCGCCGCCGCCGCTGCTGCCCTCACTTCTCCTGCGGATATTGCCACCATCGCCGCCGCCGCCGCCACAGCCACTGACGCCGCTTCTAACGCCACCGCTGCCACAGGTCTCGTCCAGGTCCACAAACCAGACAATCTGTTCCTTCTGATCTAACACCACTAGACGTCCGGTAGCGGGTACGTAGGCTCCCCAGGCGCCGCGGACGTGACCAATCCGTGCGGCCTTAGAAACCAGGCGCCGTACTCCCAGCCAGCGGCCCAGTTGCAATGCAGACCTGAAGGAGGCATCATCGGGGGAAGCGAAGCGTTTTGAGGAACTGCAAATGGTTGACTGTATGGGGTATAAGGCTGGAGTATTGTTCTGTGGGGGATGTATGATAAATGACTTCCTCCAAACGTGGCGCAAGTAGCGATGGAAAAAAAGCTGATCTCGTGGATGAAATGCAACAAAATATCTGGATCCAGGTCCAGATCCTGAACCGGATCGGGAAATGTCGTATTATACGGATAGAAAATGGACCGACCCAGATGACAGATCGCGCGGATTCATCAATCTGGGTCGGATTAAATTCGATTTGGGTCGAACGCGTTCTCATGGCGCGCATGACTCACGTGCTTAGGTTATCGCATGACGGCTGGAGGAGGTCCGAGGGAAGCATCGGAAATAAAAGTTGCTGCTGCTTTTGCCGCTGTAGTCGACGTTCTTGTTGATGTAATGATTCCTGTTTTCTCATTTCCAGAACTACCTGTTGCTGGAACGTCCTCGGTCCATTTGTATTTGGCAGATCGGATGGCTGCTCCTGCAGAGGCACCACGCCTGGCGCGTCACGCGCGGTTGGCATGATGCTGTCTGGAGCCCCGGCGACAGATGAGGAAGACGCAGCTGTTGATTCTGATGCAGTTGGTGGTGGTGCGGACGCAGCTCTGTGCTCTTGTTCCAACAAAGCTGTCCAGAGCAAAGGAACCGATGCGACGTCGCGCCACAGGCGGGAAACCGTCGCAGCGCGTGCGAGCTCAAAGGGTTCGCCCAAATTGCGCAGCACATGGTAGATAATCGCCTTATTATGAGATAAAATGTTCGTTTGCCTCGTGCTTGAAACAGAAGGGGAAAACATAGATGCATTTGGCGCGGCTGGTTTTGCTGACAGGGTGTGGAGTTCCAAAGTCGCAGAGGAGTCGCTGTTGGTTATGATGGAGGGTCCGCAGCTTTGGACAACCCGCAGTCTGCTGCTGTGACAAGCAGGTGAGAAAGCGCTTCCCGCGCTAGTTAGGATTTGAGTAAGACGCACTGGCGCAGAAGCGCGTATATCTAAGCCTAATATGGAAGACTGTTTATCGCTTAGATTGTTCTCGGGAGCGTGCGATGCACACGCTGGAGTCTGCGCAGCGCGAGGGCTTAGCGGCGTTCCCATGGCCTCCAGGTGCATGTGATACACGTAACGGGTTGATTAATTTTATATAAAGTTGAGCTGACATGGGCTGCAATCTGGGCTCAAAGGTCAGTGCATGAAAAAGGACATTACGATTCGTACGGAGGTTTTTTGCTCCATTAGTCACACGCTATGCAAAAATATAGATTGCTCAAGCATGACCCCATTAAATTCGAATTCTAAATTCTAATATGTCGCTGGATCTTTCCTTTTAGTATTCATAATGCATGTGCCTGTTTCGTAAGGGAGTGAAAACTAGGAACCGCGTACTGTGCGACCTGATAGCAGCTTCCTAGGCGCCTTTTTCTCCTTAGCTTTGTTTGGCATACCGGTTACCATTCAAAAGTGAGCCGCCTGCTTAAACTACATTGTCAGCAGCCGTAAACGCCTGAGAACGTCGCTGCACAACTACGAAACTCACATGCATCGTGAAATTATGAATGCGTATCAACTGCTACAGAGGACAAGAAGTACTATCTCCTTTTACGATTTACGTTTTACGTTTACAAGCTTCAAGCTTGTACGGTCCAGACGAGCCAAAAGGCTCATGAACCGCCAAACTGGAAACAAGAACTATCTCCTATAAATGCATGGCCCTACGTACATCTCAACCGACCGCGCTAACCACCCTCAACCACCCGACCATACAAATAGGCCTGCGGCGCAGCATCACGCATACCTGAGAAGGTATTATTTAGATCTTCCTGCAGTGGAGCTGGAAATTGATTACGGGAGGCGCAGACCGCAAAATAACAAATGCTTTTTAATAGTATAGGTAAGCATACAGTAGGTCCACGCATCGTCAGAAGACCGGTCTTGCCTCCTAACAGACGCCACAGTTTACCGGAACTCCATCGCGTCCGTAGTCAACTGGATAAACGTTCACTTCTAGTCCATCCCAACTTCCAACTCCCCTCCATGCGCGCATCGACTCGCTTCCCCCTGCACGCTCCATCGACTGCGGCTCCGCACCCGCAGATCAAAAGCATTGGATCCCACCGAGTGCCGACCACAGTCCCCTTCTCTTTCCCCCCTCCGACAAGTCGGGTGTCGGCTTCCTCGAAGCCGGAAAAAGGGCGGGCCCCCCCTGCATCCGTACAGGCCGGTAGCTAGCACGGCACGTGTGACAATTGATGGGTAGTGTCACTGCGGTGGGAGATGTGCTTTGTTGCAGCAGTACTGATGGTGTGGGAGCTAAGCTTGCACCGGCGGAATCGTCAGCACCGCCTGCGCGCTCCACGCGAATCGCATCCATCCCGGGTGCATGCCGCATGGACAGTGCGGCAGACCGCAAGTCGGAATGCCCGTGCGGGCAAATTGGTAACGCAAGCTGAGTGAAATTCGGTGCTGTCTGTGATGTTTATCCCCGAAGCGCCAGCGGCCTCAGCAATCCGCCCCACAGCCGCGAGCTTCATCGCGGCACACCGCAAGTCTTCGGAGGCCCCGTGCATTGGCCAAAGTAAATGTACAAACAAGCAGCTTGTGTATTTCATAGAGAAGTGAAAGCAAATTATGTTGGCCTGCTGGTGGCAAGTCGGATTGCCCATGCCGGCAAATGGTATCGCAAGCTGGGTGTTCGAGTTATCATACGCCGTCATCTCAGAATTCCATTATGAGATACACGGCAGCTTTCGGGATGAAATTTAGCGCGAGAGGCGTTGATGTGACTTTTGAGGTCGGTGAATGGAGGCAGCTAAACTTGTTTGTGCTCATACGGTCTTTGTTAGCTACATGCGAGATACCTTGCAATAGAGAATGCTGTATAGTACCGATAACGGGTTTCAGCCGGGTGAAATATTATGTTTGGTCCGTTACACACTCAAGGCCTGGGAGTTCGAGTTATCATACGCCGTCATCTAAGAATTCAAATATGAGATACGCGGTACCTTTCGGGATGAAATTTAGCTCGAGAGGCGTTGATGTGACTTTGGCCTCGGTCAATTGAGGCAGCCAAACTTGTTTGTGCTCATACGATTTTTGTTGGCTACATGCGAAATACCTTGCAATAGAGAATGCTGTATAGTACCTATAACGCGTTTCAGGCGGGCGAGATATTATGTTTGGTCCGTTACACACACACACACACACACACACACACACACACACACACACACACACACACACACACACACACACACACACACACACACACACACACACACGGACATGGGCAATCCTACAGGTCGGGGCCCCCCTGGGCGCTTCGCGCTGGGGCCCCGCCCAAAAACCGATTCTTCCACAATCCTCCGAAACCAAGCCCTGAATGAGCATCTCCCGGCACATCTTCCATTCCACAGAGCTACCCGACCGGATCAACATGGCACACCCCGCAGGGTCAACTAACTGCCCGGCGGTCTACCCACGTGCCGGTGTCTCGATAGCCCTCTTCTGCCGTTTCGTTTTCTCATAATTTTTTACGTGTTGCTTCAGAACACTCTTACGGGCGCCGTTTGCCCGTGTGTGCGACTGTGGCCCGCTGCTTTGGCTCGGGCCTCTCTGACATGTCGTACGTACGATAGAGCGGCCGCAAAGAGCACCTGGAGCCCCAAGAGCACTTTTTAAAAGTCATAGTTAAAAGTCGTTCTTACCACATTCGCCTTTCTGCGGGATTCGTAAGGGCATCATCGGACATCAGCCCAGTCAGCCATCTGGGTCGCCGATTAGGGGGGGCAGGAGGAGCCGGGTACTGTCTTGGGAATTTGCGGATAAATCCCAGCAGCAGCCAGCATCGGCAGCGCCGNCGGCCCGGCGGCGTCTACTTTGGGATTTGACGGGACTGTCATCTGTTGGGGTGGTTGAGCAGCCGGAGGATGAAAAGGAGGCGGCGCATGTGCGAATATCTGCGGTGGCGCCGGGGCGCCGTACACCGGCGGCCCTTGAGGCGGGATGCCGTACGGCGGCGGAGCCATCGCAGCTGGGTACGCTGCTCCTGGCGGCTGCATCATCACTGGCGCCGGCGCCGGCATCATGACAAGCAGCGGCTGTGGCTGCGGCTGCGGCGGCTGTTGAACGGCACCGCCTGCGATGTTTGGCATACACAGTAACAAAGATTAGTTTTTAGGAAATTCTCCTCACCATCAATGAGGCAGTCGTGATTAAACGTTATTCGGAGGGTTCTAAAGTGTTGCTGGGAATCGAAAGAGAGCGTGCACCTGTACGACGACTACGATGACTTTGCAGTACTGTCGTACAATTATGCGCTGTACAAGGTACGCGGCAATGTTGGAAAATCGCATTCGCCTAAACGCATCGATACTGATCGTGTGTTATCACGCGAGATCGCGGCTCTCACCCCTGGAGTGGCCGCGGATGATGAGCTCTCGACGCTCTTGGCACATCGCGCAGGGCGCACAGCACCAAGTGAGCTATAGCAGCGGCAGAGCAGCAGTTGCAAGCGAGTAAGAATTAGGTAACAAGTTATAACTTTAACAACAACAGATGTACAGATTTTCCACGAGTAAAGGAATCATTCGGAGGATCACCATAAGATCATTCAAGGCGGGTCAAAAAAGATAAACGCGATAGAGCCAAACAACCTCCCCTAGCGGCTCCCCTGGCAGTTGAACAGGAACGCAGTGGGACGCAGCGCGTGAGAGTGAAACGTTTGAAGGTCAGGAAGGGGGAGGCCTTGGCATGGTTGGTTAATATAAAGAAGCTCAAGAGTCGTCCGTACAACGACTACAACGACGACGTTGTACGGCATGTCGGCATGCCGTAGGTAGAGAGAGGGTGGGGATTTGAAAAAGGAGGTCGTTACTACGGTTACTTCTACCCATCCGTACTACATTGGTAATGATGGACACGCACGCCCTCGACATTCCTCCTCCCAAGGGCTAGCAGCTTACCAGGCAGTCCAAGCAGCTATTCCCCCTGGAAGATACACAAAAATGGGGAGGCCGATCCGAGGGGCATGAAGGCAGCATATGCGTAATGCTTGGTCAGAAGCAAGTACGGATGATAGAGTGGAACTCTCGTCACGACATTACAGCTTTAGTCGTTAAAATATTAGGCGATAGAATCTGCGCTCTGTTAAAACGTGCGTGTATTATTTTCATTTAGTTACATAGTAGAAAGCGCATAGTGTGTATTATATATATACATAGGGAGAGGCAGGCAGGTGTACTATGTACGGAAAGTACGGCGCTTACGGGATGTTATACTTGTTCCGGATGTAGCCACGAGCCATGGCGTGTAGGATGCAACAACATCCCGTGAAGGATGCCATGCAGTAGTAGGCCATGCAAGCGCCGTAGCAGCTGCCACCGCAGCACACCACCTGCGACCAGACCAGCATGCATGGATGACGTAGCCCAGTAACGTGTACGTGTATACGCGTGTATGTATGTGTATGTGTGTGTGTTTGTATGTGTGTGTTTGTATGTGTGTATGTGTATGTGTATGTGTATGTGTATGTGTATGTGTATGTGTATGTGTATGTGTATGTGTATGTGTATGTGTATGTGTATGTGTATGTGTATGTGTATGTGTATGTGTATGTGTATGTGTATGTGTATGTGTATGTGTATGTGTATGTGTATGTGTATGTGTATGTGTATGTGTATGTGTATGTGTATGTGTATGTGTATGTGTATGTGTATGTGTATGTGTATGTGTATGTGTATGTGTATGTGTATGTGTATGTGGATGTGGATGTGGATGTGGATGTGGATGTGGATGTGGATGTGGATGTGGATGTGGATGTGGATGTGGATGTGGATGTGGATGTGGATGTGGATGTGGATGTGGATGTGGATGTGGATGTGGATGTGGATGTGGATGTGGATGTGGATGTGGATGTGGATGTGGATGTGGATGTGTGCTGTGTGTGTGTGTGTGTGTGTGTGTGTGTGTGTGTGTGTGCGTTGCAGCTGAGAAGTAATCTCTTACTGAACAGCTGTGGGATGGCCCGCTGCGACGCTCACCGCCGGCTCCATAAGATCCACATTTGAGCCGTAGGCGCATGCCGGGCAGCAGCACGCGTACACTGTGAAATAGCAAAAAAATATACAAGCGTAAAATCTAGGAACGAACGCCGGGTCCCCTCGTTTGCGAGGTGGTTACAACGAGGTAGTAATCCTGTCTGCCTCTCGAGCACAATTCACCATGAGTACGCACATGCAGGCTAGTAGATGACCTACAACCGAAACTACTGGAGCTGACAGTTTAGCAGAGCAGGATATAAGCCTGCTGCTTTGTTACTGCTTGCCGGTCGTGAAGCGCAAGACGCGAACCACCTTCCCAACTCACAGCAAAAGCCGCATCCTGATGGGTCTGAGGCACATTCGCAAAAGCCAGTGCTCCAAGCGTTCTTTGCGGGAGGCCTCGGCATGGTAGTCGTTTAGTAAAGCCTGGGATATCGAGCGTCCAATGGTGCCGTGGAGTCTGCTTATGACTTATGACTAGCTAATTCTTCAATAGTTTGTTGTTTTTGTTGATCAGGTGGATAAAGCGCACAATATTTGCGGCTTTACCGTTACTTCCTGACTGTCGCTTCGAATTTGTAAGGTTACGGTACGGGTACAGGATTCGTCAATCTGAACTGTTGGCGCAGACCGAAGAACGAATAAGGCATAGAATGATAAAATGTTCTGCTTCTTAATTTAAATAAATGTTATGGCAGCAATTACTAAGGTTAGTTCTTTACCTACTAAGCAACGTCAGTCTAAAAGTTTTCGCTCGCGCCGGCCAAGTTCTGGCTAGACACCCTTCCGTCGTTATGCTACACACAGCAGCAACATCGGACGGCATGAAGCTTTATTTGTTTCTGCATTTAACAGTCATTTTAATTAAAAAGTCGCAACGTCGCTGCTATCCAATGCAAGCACAATGCTCGCGCGGAGTGAGGCAAATGAGCGCGAACGCAGTTAACGTGCGGCGACGCGGGTGGCCAGAACTGCGTTATCGCCAACAAAATGTCTTGGACACTTTGTGAAGGATTACGAGTTGAAGCCATCCTACCTTCTTCGCATGGAATGCACGGAAATCTTGGACGCGCGCGGCTATTGCAGGGTTCAGTGTTCCTCAGATTTTTCCTTAATTGGGTGGACCTAGGCGAACTAGAGAAGCGTATGGTGCGGTTGACTGAAGTGGCATCGGCAAAACCGTACGTGTACGCGTTCCTGGAGCGCGAATACGCGGGCGGGTTGAAAAGTGAAATGACCAGCGATGACAACGGGTGATTCACGGACTTGGGCCATGCGACGCCAACGCCGCCGTACAATGCAGTGTGAAATAAGACGCGCTATGGCACGATGTGGGTCACTACTCAGGCCTCTTTCAATAGTGATTGTGGGTCCTGAGCCTTCCCTTTGGTCGCGGTTTTGGCTGTCTAATTGACTTGGGTTGTCTCATCTGGGTGGTAGTCTAGTTTGTATATTTGTCTCTAGTGCAGTGCACGGCAAGCTGGCCCGATGGCTGTACTCTTCGTGAGTCTGGAGCCCACTGTAACAACCACACACACACACGACCGTATTCCAACTTCCCTGCCATCTTAGTGCCTGAGTTAATAAAAGCCATGCCCCGCGCTATTGCTCGTTTACAAGAAAGCAAGCCTTTGTAGTTACTCACTCTTAGAAGTAGAAACACACCCTACGTGATACCGACTCATTACTACTGCTGCAGCTCTTTTGGCATTCATATTTACCAGCGGAAATAGTTTACACGTGCATTTGGCCGCATAGCAGGACGGTTCAATCACTTAGGGTTGTTACCCGTTGGCATCTCAACACCGATTTGTACAACTACCCCAAGCGATGTTGTCCTCCAAGCACGTGTGCCACGCCTCCTTTCAAGTCGCTATTAATCATTCCAGAGAGAAAGAGAAGGGGGAAGAGATAGCGACAGAGACGACGACGTTGAGAAAGACGACGACATTGTACCAAGCACCCCAACCGGCGCAGAATGTGATTGCAAAACTGGCGCATGTATAGACTTCGGAGAAGACAGCAGAAGGCTGCCGGTGATCAACGAGCCCGGTACTGCTACGTATCTTCCTAAAGTTTTCGCCATCACGAAATGAAACTGTCCACATCATAACGAACACAGCCTCTGAGCATGTAAATGAATCCCACTTTTATAGCACACATTTGTACGGAAGAGATATAAGGACTGTCGGTAGCACAGCAAATATATAACGTAGACTTTAAACAAACCCGAATCGCATCTTGACCAACCCAGTTCTACAGCGTTAAGACATAAATGCACAGGTGAAAGTTATATATATTATATATATTATGACCTGCAATCATATTACGAACAAGCACATATAAACGACATAAACAAGCAAGCATGACAGCGCTATGTAATCTGCTGCAAGCACATCAGCTCTATAACACTTGCAGGGCTCGCGGTGTGCGCCTCGCCCAACAGATACCAGCAGGATTTGCCGCCGTCCGTATGCACATCGGCCTCCCAGGAGTATCTTAATTGGGCAAGAGACAATATACACAAAGCACGAAATCGCAAAGCTGCGGCAATTAAAGACAGGGAAACGCTACCCCCAAAGTGCTCTCTAGAGCCCAGCCACGGCCCCAGGAACGCCGACCCACAATCATCCAACAAAAATGAACGCACGCAGCGTACAAACGAGGCATATTACAAGCCCATGTCGACGTGGGTGCAGGACGCCGCTTACCTGCCGCTTACCTGCCGCTTTATGTTAGTTTATCAAAGATTTTACTAAAGACCGATAACAGGCTTAACCACAACTTATAGCTTGAGGATTGCCGCTTGAAACCTATTGCCTTCGTTGCACCCTGTTACCCGGCGGCAATGCAAGGCGGCAGCCCAGTGAAGCGAGATCTGAGTGTGAAAGACATGGTGAAATAGTCGATGGATCTTCGCGTAGCCGCCAGATCCACGTGGCGCACACGAGGCTCCCCTTGGTGGCTAAATGCCGTTTACTCGCCTTACGATTGGACGAAGCAGCAATCCTTCAAATTACCGCTTAACGGTTGTATTCAGCGCCATCGTATAAAGGCGGCCTGCCTCGAGAAGGAGAAGAGCCCCTCCTGAGGAGCAGCTACACAGCGGCCTTACTTGGGGACTTCCGGGTAGAATGCCGGCTGCTGCTGCTGCTGCTGCATGGCGTAGCCTGGCTGAGCAGGTGCTGGGTAGCCTGGTTGTGCGGGTGCTGGGTAGGCCGGCTGTGCGGGTGCTGGGTAGCCTGGTTGTGCGGGTGCTGGGTAGCCTGGTTGTGCGGGTGCTGGGTAGCCTGGTTGTGCGGGTGCTGGGTAGGCCGGCTGTGCGGGTGCTGGGTAGGCCGGCTGTGCGGGTGCTGGGTAGCCTGGTTGTGCGGGTGCTGGGTAGGCCGGCTGTGCGGGTGCTGGGTACGCCGGCTGCATCCCCGGCTGTGGCACCATGACCATCACTTGCTGTTGTGGCGGCTGCGCTGAAGGTGGAACCTTGCCACCTGCACAAAAGAGTTTTGTTGCAAATATGCAAAGACGGTCATCTCCTCAAACTTACATGCTCGCCCCGGTGGGCTTGCGTTCACATGCATTATGCGGGGTTGCTTCGTTTTCCTCCATCGGCCTTCGATGTCCTTCGAAAGCTATGCCGTAATGCATTGAGCTTAGAACTCATCGGAGCGCACTTTCATCTTAGCATTCAGGTCAGCATGCCCACATGACTCAGCGCGGTACAGAAAGGCCAGCCTTATCACCACCAAGAATCAATGGTGGCGCAACTGACTGCAGAGTACGACATAGGTTTCTTATTCATTCCCACAACTGGAATGCAAGGGCAACAGGCGACATTCATGATTGAGCCTCTGATGTCATGCCCTGAGATCAAGCTCACCCTTGGTGTGGCCGCGCAGAAGGAGCTCGCGACGCTCTTGGCACAGGGCGCAGGGAGCACAGCACCAAGTGGTCTGCAAAGCCATGGGAAAGCCATGAACGGGTTTGATGATGGCATGGGAAACTGATTGGCTACGACGATCTGCACAGTTCATGAAGCACAGAGGTTGAGTACAAGGCTTTCCCACGTAAATAAAGCCACCAGGTAAAAAAACGTTGGCTGGTTTCGGTTTCCCAGGCATACGCTTACCATGCAGTCGCTGCAGCAGTCTCCCCTGGGGAAGCAATGGGATTCGGGGGCGAATGGATGAGAAGGCCAACGTTAACTTTACAGTTGGGTTGCCTTCGCGGTTCACGTTTGCGGTTCACATGAGGCAGAGCTTAGAGCAGTGAGCTTACGGGATGTTGTATTTGTTCCGTATGTAGCCGCGTGCCATGGTGTGAAGGATACAGTGGCAACCACTCCAGATGGCCACGCAGTAGTAGGCCATGCAAGCGCCGCAGCAATCGCCACCGCAGCACACCACCTGCCGAACAGGATTCAAGATGCGTACCAATCAACGACTAAAGATACAAAAGTATGAACCAGGAAATAAATTGAGCTGGAAGTATCCTGTCAATTGAGGTGCGATGTGCACCTTCAAAGTCAGGTGTCGGCAGGCCAGACGGGCAGACCAGTCGCCCCGGAACTTACCGGCTCCATTAACTCCACGTTCATGCCATAAGCACATGGTTGACAGCACCAAGCGAAAACTGAAAGCCAAAACAATGGTTGCAAGGTAAGCCCTTGCGTGTCATCGACGTGCGTGCGCATATGTAGCGCATTTGAGGTGCCGGAAGGCTTCACGATATGGACTGCCGAACTCACGGCAAAATCCACATCCACTGGGCTCCGCTGCGCAGTCACAGAGGCTTGTGCTCCACGCGTTTTGTGCTGGTACCTTTGCCATTGTCTGTAATTAATACAAGGCGGAACGCGGAAGGCCGAAACTTCAAAAGTCGGCAGTTGCCTGTTAACCTAATAACAATCTGGACAATCTGAATAAGATGAAGCTTCTCTGTTTTGAGTAGTAAAAGCCGCCCTTTGCACGGGAGTGTACGATCGCTATGGAAATCAGTTGGAACCTGGAATGACCATGCGTCCATGGTATCTCTAAAACCAATTTATAAAAAGCAATACTTATGTTTGAACGTGCGCTTTTGGTCCGTCGTGCTACGCTTGAGTGAAAGCAGCGCATAGCGGGCAACGATTGCTTGGAGAGGGCCCCCTCCTCTGGGATGCGGAGAATAACAATATGTACGCCTTCGGATCAGTCTGACCGCTGTGATGCAACGAGCACATGCGGTTTCTAGGCTCCCTTGAACTGTGCGCGATGCTAGACGCGAGGAACGAGGTTGCGTTTTCGTTCTTATGCGTATTTGCGAGGGTTGCGTTGGCATTCTTACAATTCCAACGAGCAGATGAGCAAATATGAATGGAATCTCGGCCCTCCTTCTCCTTTACTTCCTAGCTTCTCCTCTCCTGACCGTTCACTCGTGCAAATCGGGAAAGCCATTATTCCCGGGACATTCCATTACTTGTCGATGCAGTCGCAAGCACAGTTACACGAACAGGTCCCCCGTGCCTGCAGGGTGAACACACCAAACTTGCAGCTTCGCCTTGAAACTTCCAAAATCCTATCTTTGCGAACTGCACATATATCTAGGGATGCTGTTGGAAAGTGCTCTTAGGTACACTCAGGCTTGACACTTCGGTAGTTTGATTAGTTGCCGTTATCCCAATACGACATCGGATCAGGATTGGCTACGGTATGCTTATATACTGCTTGCGTATCCTTTCTCTCTCTCTCCTTGTGTAACGATATGAGCGAGTGATGTGTTCACTGAAGGACTCTTATCTCTAACAGGTTATGAGCCCCGCGCTTTAGCGTGCGGTCATCCGTTTGCCCGGTGGTGCCTTTTTCTGCTGTGTGCGGACTTAGCTGTAGGCAAGGATGAAAATAGATAAGGAGGATTTTTATTTCTCCATTAGCACCTTTCACCTCTTGAAGGAGCACGTCATCGGCGTCCTTCAACGTAAAGGACTAGCGAACGCGATCAGCCCCGTGCAGGCTACGCGGGATGTAGTGACAGACGAGCAAGACCAGCGAGCTTTGGGCGTTATCAAGGAATTCATCCGCGTCCTGGAGAAGCCCCTGTACGCGCGTCACGCGAAGGCGTACGACCTGTGGCTTGCTTTGGCGGCTAAGTATGGGCAGCAGACTCGAGCTGCGAAGAGCTTATTGGTTCAACGGTTGACCCAATTCAAGATGGAATCGAGCGAGACGATCAGCGATTACATCGCGAGGTTCCAAGCGCTTCGACTAGAGTTCGCAGCCATCGATATTAGTTTGGCGGATGACGAGGCGGTGGACCACGTCTTGAGGGGCCTACCTGATACGTATGCCATGATCCGCACAGTTATAGAAAATACTACCGACGTGGACGACGTCGAGAAGCTGGAGATGCGGCTACTCGTCGAGGAGCAGAAGATTGATACGGAGACCAAGAAGTCGCCCGTGAAGGGAGCCTACAACGTCGCGCGGCAGGCGCCACACAAGAAGAAGGACAACAGGAAGTGCTTCTACTGCAAGGAGCAGGGCCATTTAGTTGCCAAGTGTCCGAAGCTTAGACAGCCATATCCGNCACCACCACCGNCGCCGCCGCCGCCTCCCCCTCCACCACCTCCCCAGCCTTTCATGCGCCAACGACAACAACAACCGCAAGTGCAGCCGCAGGCCCAGGGCGTGCGGCGGCGACTAGTTGGCGTCATAAACACGCTTGGGGGAATGAGACTGGCACCCGGTGAATGGCTTCTCGACACTGGAGCCGAGGATCACCTGACCTTCACGCCTGAGGACGTGGAGGGTCTGAAGCCGGTGCGCGAGGGCGAGGGTGTCGTTTCTGAGGTGGCGGATGGGCGGACGGTTAGCTCGATTGGTGAGGGCAGGCCGGTTTTCGCCTCTTTTCGAGGGCAGACGGAATTGTCGGTACCTGTACACGTAGTTCCGGACCTGCAACACCGCCTGTTCTCAGTCAAGGCCCTGAAGAGATCCTTCCCGGATCAGGTGGTAGAGGTTGTCCTGTCCGCCGATTGCTCGTATATAGCAATAGACGGAATTCCCGCTGTCGATGTGTTCGAGGAGAACGGGATGTACATCGTGCTTGCGCAGCCAGATGCCGAGTGGAATAGGGCATTATCACTGCATCGCTTTCCCAAGGAAAAGTTAGACACCTTGCATCGTCGCATGGGGCATGCTAGCCTCACCCGTTTTGATAGGCCGTTTTTTTACGACCTGGTCCATTCGGAGCTCATATGCCGCGAGGAAAGCCTTCGTCCGGAGAGCAAGGTCTGCGAGCCGTGCGTTATGGGAAAAATGACCCGCAGCCCCCATCATTCATCGACGCACAAGGGCGAACGCGTGCTCGACCTCGTCCATATGGATCTTTGCGGCCCGATGCCGGTCACGTCGCTGGGTGGAGCCAACTACTTCGCTACCTTCTACGACGATTTTAGCAAATACTCCGAGGTTCGTTGCGTTCGCGCAAAGAGCGAAGTCCCCGCTGCTGTTCGTGAGGTTTTGACTAAGTGGGAACGGCAGACTGGTCTAGAAGTTCGTTGCGTCCGAACTGATTGCGGCACGGAGTACGTCAACGATCGCCTTGCCTCCTTCTTTTCTGAGAGGGGTATTGTGCATGAGAAGTCGGCCCCGTATACACCAGAGCAAAACGGAGCAGCGGAGCGCCTGAACAGGACTTTGCTGGAGCGTGTGCGGGCCATGCAATATGATTCGGGCGTACCTCCGGAGCTGTGGGGAGAGGCAATAATGACGGCCAACGCCTTGCGCAACGTGTGTCCTACGAAGGGGACTGTACAGACGCCGTGGGAGCTGTTTACTGGAAAGCCCCCGGACGTCTCTAAGCTACGGGTATTCGGGTGCGTGGCTTATGTACAGGTTCCGAAGGCGCTTAGAAATAAACTTGACCCGGTCTGCGTCAAGGGTATCCTAGTTGGGTATGAACCTAAATTTAGTGCGTGGCGCGTATGGATCCCAGCAGAAGGGCGGATTCGTGTTAGTGTAGATGTGGTTTTCGATGAGGGAATCATGTATAGTGTCGCGTATTTGCTCGATTCGATAGAGGAGTCGCTCTCTTCCGGTACTGATGATGAGGGCCCCAGGAGGGCGCCCTTGGTCGAGATCGAGATGAATCCTGTAGGCGGGC